GTAAAGAGGGTCACTGGGAGTTGGAGCTGACTTGACAGCCCCAACACACACACAGGTTGGATAGTAAATCCATGACAATATGTATCTATACTGGGTAGTGACTACATAAAACGTGCTTCTGTGCATATGCATGTATATATATTTTATCACAAGCCATTCTAAGCACTAATTGTTGGTGGTAGTTAGATGCATCAGGTCCATTTTGACTCAGAGCATTTCCGCATCAGAGTAGAACTGCCCCCTCGGGTGTTCTGGTTTATCATCTTTATAAAGAGTGGATTGTCAGATCTTTTTCCCAAGGTGGGTTTGAACCCCTGAACTGTTGCTAACAGCCTAATGCTCTACTGTTGTGCCCCACCCCCCAGGCTCCTTTGATTACCATTACAAATCTTAACAACTGGGGGTGGGGGGGCTGTTCTATAGAAGTTGGTACTTGAGGAAGAGTGGGAAAGGCCTTGTTGAGAATTACCAAAGGCCACAGGCCATGGGAACTGCTCTGCTTCAGTGACTTCGAGGAATTGGGCCCTGTTTGCTTAGATACTTGATTGAAACTATCACTTGGTTGATAGCCACAAGACTTGGCTCAAAGAGGAGGCCTTTGAGGGTTCACTGTTCCCACCATTGCTCGCTCCTTCTTCCCGCTTCATCCTACATCCCGTGATACACTTTGAACCGGTTCTGCCCACTCCAGCCAGTGGCTAATGAAATGAGACTTGGACAGACTTCAGTTTGTAAAGTGTGAGTGCACTGGCAAGCTAACCAGAACGAGCAACCATTACAGACGGATGCCCCGCTGGAAACAGCCTCCCTCTGAGAAAGCCAGGGCCGCCTGCTCATTGCACGCAACCGAATCTCTTGGCCAACAGAGTCACAGGCAACAGCGCCCTGCTCAAAGCTGGTGCTCAATCACTCTGCTTTGAACATGCGTCCCTCTCAGAGTTCTGGTGATAATCCAATCGCCCCCCACACCCACCGGGCTCCTGAAAAGTCTCACTCTGCCTCTCCTGAGTCTCCCATTTCAGAATTTTAGCGCATTCATGTATTTTTGCCATTCAAATTAGCATTTCAACTCACCGACATTTGAAAAATCCAGGTCCGCTCCAATTTCACTTTGTCAGCTATGATTGAACTGGTTTAAACTGGTGTGAAGTTCAAGCTCTCATCCCAGCACATGCCCGATTAGAAAAGACTGGTGTTGGCTCCCACTTCTCACACCCCCAGGTGCGGTCAGGAGGCTGGCTTTCCTGGCTCAGTCCACTTTGTGAGGCTTGTGCTGTTTCTTTCTTTGCTGGTCCAGATATATTTTTTAATCATTTTATTAGGGGCTCATACAACTCTTATCACAACCCATACATACATCAATTGTGCCAAGCACATTTGTACATTCATTGCCCTCATCATTCTCAAAACATTTGCTCTCCACCTAAGCCCCTGGCTCCTCATTTTTCCCCTCCCTCCCTGCTCCCCCCTCCCTCATGAATCCTTGATAATTTATAAATTATTATTTTGCTATTTCTCTCCTACCTCACACCCTGCTACCTTTCCTTTCTGGGCTCAGTGCCCAGGCCATTGGTGGCTCTCCCTCTTTATGATTACGACTATTCAGGTAGCTGGAGGCCAGGGATGCCCACAGGCTCAAAGGGCATATTCTCCAAGGAAGTGGGCACTGCAGAGCAATGGGAATTAGAGGAAGGATCCTTCGGGAAGACAGTTCAGGAGAGTAGAGTCCGTGTGTTGGCGTCTTCATTCCCCTCCGGTCCTCTGAAGAGACCGAGCGGCAAAGGGTGGCAGAAGGGGACCTTGGGGCCAGAGGTCTCCAGTTGGCCACGTAGGGGCTGTCATGCCTGGCTTCTGACAGATACAGATGGGGTGTGCGGCTGGATGAGCTCTGAAAATGGTCAAAAGCTCACACTCAAGCCCACTGCCGTGGTTCCAGCGTCCACGCGCAGCAACCTCACAGGACGGGGTAGACCTGCCCCTGGGGGGTTCCAAGACTGTCACTCTCTTTTTTTTAATCATTTTATTGGGGGCTCTTTAAACTCTCGTAACCATCCATACATCAATTGTATCCGACGTAATCGTACACATGTTCCATCGTTCTTTCCTAGACATTTACCTTCCATTGAGCCCTTGGGATCAGCTCCTCTTTTGTTTTTCCCTCCTTCCCCCACCCCACAACACTCGTGGCCCCTTGATAGATTATAGATTGTTAATTATTTTCAAATCTCTCTCTGACCGCTGTCTCCCTGCCCCTCTGGTTTCTGTTGTTCTTCCCCCTGGATGGGGGGGTGTGGTGGTGTGCCATTCATTGTGATCAGTGCCCCCTCCCTCCGCACCTCTCCCTCCCTTCCCCTACCCTTTCGGGATCTCTAGTCCCATTCCTGGTCCTGGGTTCCATGTGTTGTGAGTGTTATCTCTTGCCTAAACCTATGTACATGCTCCCTTCTAGTCCAGAGAGGGAGGCGGCACTGGGGTCATGATAGCGGGGGTGAGGAGGCCTCAAGGGATCAGAGGTATATTGCATGACCCATTAGTGCTCCACTGCACCCTGCTTGACTCATCCCCACTGCGACCCCTCTGTGGGGCATGTTTCATTGTCCACAGATGGGCTTTGGGTCTCCGCTCTGTCCTCCCTCCATTCTTACCGGTGCATCTTTGTTTGTTTGTTTACTGTTTGTTGTGAGTCTTCTGATGCCCACTGTCCGGTCTCCATGACACCTCATGGTCACACTGGCTGGTGTGCTTCTTCCATGTGGACTGTAACTCTTTATGGGAATGGAAAGCCTCCTCTTTCTCCCATAAAGCAGCTGGTGGTTTTGAACTGTTGACCTTGGGGCTAGCAGCCCAATGTAACCACTACGCCACCAGGGATCCTCAATAAGGGTCTTAAGATATTAGATGCTCTTGACTACTGACCATACACCAGGGGCTGGCCTGAGAACGCTATGACTTCGTTCACGTTATACTCAACTTTGGTCTCTTGATGCCCGTGCGAAAGACGAGACATAGCCTGACTGGCAGACCGAGGAGCCAGAGTCTGAAGCTCAGACTAACTGAATGACAGAATGAAGCTCAGTCCACCCGTGAAATCCTCAAATCCTCACTTCTTCATTTATTTAGCTGTCTGGGCCCCACTTCCTCCCCACTGCCCGCTTTTTAAGCACGTGTTGCTGCTGCCTTGCACCGCTTGCCTCTTCTTTCTGCCCCCTTTCCTTATTTCTCACGTGCTCCTCTCACTCCCCAACCGGATTCTTTTTCTTCTCTTCCTGCCAGAGGATCCTGGGCTCCCAGCTGTCTCCCAGTCTGCAGTTTTTCGGCCAGTCTCTGAGTGGGGGGCAGGATCTGTCCCAGGACTGGCTGGCGGACCTGGCCGTGGGGGCCCAAGGACACGCCGTGTTGCTCCGGTGAGAAGGGTTTCCCTTAGGCATCCCCATCGGGCCCTGGGTCCAGCACAGACACCCAGCCCCTTCCCCCTCGCCCCCCAAGCCAGACACCTGTCCTCAGTCAGGATTCCGCCCACAGGAGCAGGCCTGTTCTGAATGTGTGGGTGAAAATGAGCTTCAGTCCAGAGGAGATTGCACGGTCCCTGTTTGAATGTCGTGACCAGGCAGCCCCTGCCCAGCCCCTGGGGGATGCTGAAGTCTGCCTTACTATTTCCCCAAGTTCTCGGAACTGGCTTGGTGAGTCACCTTCTCCCCAACCCAGAGGACCCCGGGCCCGTGGAGGCTCCCTGGCCAGGACTCCTGCCTTGGCCCTGGCCCACTAGAGGAGCTCCTGGTTCCCACCCCCTCTTTCTCCATCAGGTAACCTCCAGAGCTCTGTGACCTATGACCTGGCACTAGACCCCGGCCGCCTGAGTCCCCGTGCCATCTTTGAGGCAACCCAGGCTCGAAATCTGACCCAAGTCCAAGTCCTTGGGCTGGGTCGGCATTGTAGCACCGTGAAGTTGCTCCTACTGGTGAGGGTCCGGGGGTCCCAGCAACCGGCCATGGAGTTCGCAGGGCAAGAACCCAGGGGTGCATCCCAGTCACCCTGGGATTCTCAGGTCTAGCCTAGGGCCTGGGGCACCAGAGGCATTGGGGTGCGCTGAACGAGGGACTTGATGAACGAGGCCGGCTGTCGCCGCGAGAGAACCCACAGTTGGCTTTCAGGGATGGGTGATGGTTGCTTGGGGGAGTGACGGGCTGTGGGCTGGGGTTTGTTCACTTACTCGTTTGACACATGTCCGTGGGGCCACGCCTGTGGAACGGGCCCTGTGTAGCCGCTAAGGGACAAAACAGCCATCACCACAGGGAGCTCACCGCCAGGTGTGAGAAGACCCCAAACACACATTCCTCCCTCTAGATGTCAGGTCTGGATCCCTGCTACGATGAGAGAGAAAGCCAGGGGAGAGAAGACGTAGGGTGTCCAGAAGGCCTCTCAAAGGAGGGGAAGGGTGTAGACCCTGAGTGGGTCAAAGCAGAGGACAACCAAGACAAAAGGTCTAGGGACAAGAAGGCATGCCAGGCGAGTGATGGTCACCGATGTCCATGGAGTGCAGGCAGGTGGCACCACTAGCCATTTCGTAGAGGAGGAGACTGGGACACAGCCAATAGCTTCCTGGGATCCTCTTCTTGGTCATCTGCGCTCTCCAATGTCTGTCCTTGAAGGCCTGCGTGGAGGACTCAGTGACCCCCATCACCTTTCGTCTCAACCTGTCCCTGGAGGGAAAACCCATCCCCTCTTACGGAAGCCTGCAGCCCATGCTGGATTTGGATGCGGAGAGATACTTCGTGGCATCCGTGAGTCCTGGGGCTGGGGTCTCCCAGAGGGACTGGGGTGGCAGACTCCGGATCTTTGGGAGAGCTCCTCTTTGTCTCCCTCCCAGCTCCCCTTTGAGAAGAACTGTGGGACTGACCGCATCTGCCAGGATGACCTTCGTATCTCCTTTGACTTCTCCGGGTGAGCCTTAGACCTGCCTGTCCTAGTTGTCAAGCCTCCCGCCCAGAACCCTGCAAATGCTCCTCTCCGATGCTCAGAACCCAGGCCCCCTTGTCCCCCATCGGTCTCCAGCCTCCCCATCCAGCCCATTTCTAGCTTCCGGAACTGAATCAGCTCCTCCTCTCCTCCCCACTCCCAGCTTGAAGATGCTCCTGGTTGGGAGTCACCTGGAGCTGAACATGCACGTGACCGTGGGGAATGACGGCGAGGACTCCTATGGGACCACCATCGTCTTCTCCCACCCAACAGGGCTGTCCTATCGACGTGTGACAGTAGCCCAGGTGCTAGAGCTTTAGGAGGAGGGCATGGCTCGTAGGCTGAGGACCAGTCTGGTTCCTTGCCAAGTCTCGGCAGTTCTTGGTTGCATGGGTGAAGCTGTGCTGTGGAGCGTGCCACAGTTCATGCGGAGTTCCACTCTGGGCTGAGCATCAGGAGGAACGCTGGTGGCACAGTGAGTTACATGTTGGGCTGCTAACCATAAGATCAGTAGTTTGAATCCGTCAGCTGCTTCACAGGAGAAGGATGAGGCTTTCTACTCCCTTAAAGAGTTACGATCGCAGAAACCCCAGGGAGCAGTTCTGCCCTGTTCTCTAAGATTACCGAGAATCAGAATCAACTTGACGGCAGTGAGTTTGAGGGTTTTGTTTTGTTTTGAGACCAAGGCAAGAGTTTCCTAAAGGAGCTAGATAATAATATTTCCAGAACCATACCGTCTCAGCTGCAGTTGCTTAATTACCTTGGCTGTTCTAGTCTGAGAGGGGTCCTCGACAGTATGGAAATGAGTGAGCAAGGTGATGTCCAATAAAACTTTATGTACAAAAACAGGTGGTGGGCTGCAGTTTGCCGACCCCTGCTGTAGAAGACTGGGCTCGGACTGCAGGCAAAGAGAAGTAGAGCTTTCACCGAAAATTGGTTTTGAGCCCCTCAAAAGGATATCGCTGAGAGTCAACCACGATCAGCTTTTGCCCCATTTATTTCATCTGTGTTTTCTTCCCTGGAGTGTTTTAAAGCAAGGCCCAGGCCCCTCCGTGGTTCACCTTCTAGTTGAACAGTGGGGGTGCTTCTTACATGACCCCAGTGTCATGATCACGTCTGGTGACAACTGCAATTCCTTCCTGTTAGACTACAATAAAATGCCCCTAGTTGCCTCAAAAATGTCCTGTTTTGGGAGCCAGGATCTAGACTAGGTCTCATATCCCTTTGAGTTGAAGATTCCTAATGGGAATATACTTTGATTTGCTGTCTGGCAAACCCCACTGGGAATCAGCAGTCTCCTGCTACCTAGCGGGGGGGTGGGGTTGGGGGTGGGGGGGCGGACCAAAACAAACTCACTGCCATCGACTCAGTTCTGACTCTGATGACCCAATAGGACAGGGAAGACCTGTTTCCTCTCCCCCTGCCCCCTGTGGGTTTCTGAAACTGTAACTCGTTCGGGGAATAGAGGACCTCGTTTTCCTTCTGCAGAAGGGGTCAGTGGCTTTGAACTGCTGACCTTGTGGTTAACAATCCAACTCGTACTCACTCCATCACCAGGGCTCCCATGAGGGGTAAGTGCCCTGTTACTGAAAGCCCTCCTAGAAAGATCCACCCCGTGCAATGCCCGAGCCTTTGTTCGCTCTTGATTTTAACCAGTGAGCCAGAAAACATCGCGGTGGAGACAATGTAGACAACGAATGAACGGAGCGGGACCTGTGTAGTCGCAAACATCGCTACTTTTGTTAAGTCTGCCAGTGGACACACTTTTAAAAATGTTTATCTGTTCCTTACATGGAGACCGATGGGGGCTTCCACTCCCGTGAAGCGTTGTAGTCTGGGAAACTCGTAGGGGCTGTTTTACACTGTCCTTGGAGTGGCTGCGAGTTGGCATCGACTCGCCATGAGGCTTGAGGTTTGGTTAGTTGTGTAGACCGACGTCTCTCTGGATGATTTGATACAATCACTAGAATTGGCTTTAAAGTCGTGCGCGTGCATACACACGCACACACACACACTGCCCCCCCCAAAAAAAATAGTTTCAAAGAGCGGAATGGAATACAAGAGTAGAAAAATGTCGGTCCCTTCTGCTAGGTGGGGGTCCAAGGGGCACTGATCTAGCCACGCTCCTTTGGAGTCTGTCGGAAATTTCCCAGGAAGAAAAAAATGTTGTTGTTTTGTTTTTTGATGACAATACATGAAACACTCTCCTGACCTCGTCTCTGGAATTTGGACCTTGGGAAGCCATTGGACGCAGACGGCGTCTGCAGATCTGTTTAGAAACACAAGCTCATGTTCGAATCCAGGAAGCCACGTCACTTCTTCTTTGAGGTTTCTTTGGAAGACAAACAATATGCGTCTGCATTAAAAGAAAAAGGTTTTTATTTTTAATCCTGCCGCTGCCTAGAACCCTCCGCCCTTGCCCTCCCCTCGTCTGACATGTGAGAGCCGGCGGGCTGAGAGTCGAGGCCCCTGGAAGACCAGCTGCAACATCAACCACCTCATCTTCCGCGGGGGCACTCAGGTAAGCTCTGCTGCTTCCCAGTTTTGATCCCCTCCCCCCAGCCCCATCTCTCACTTCTCCGCTGCCCTCTGCCCCCTCCTCTTCTTCGACGGAGGGTTCACGTATCATGCACAAGAGCCTTGTGCAATCGCCACCACGCTCCGTTCCAGAACACTTTCTTCCCTCTTGGATATGTTATTAGCTCCCCATTTCCTTCATCCTCCCCTTCCCCACCCGCTCACCTGTACCCCCAAGGAGCCCCTAATCCAGCTACTGTCTCTATAGCATCACCCATCCCAGACTGCACACACTGGAAAACATACCAAAGGGGTGGCAGTGGGTGGAGAGCAGTAACAATAACAAAATAAATCAGAGGAAAAGGCCCAATAGAGAAAAAGGCAGGCAGTATTGAAAACTGGAACAAAATTAACATGGGTCAAAGCAGAGCTCAAATGATGAGGTAGGAGCTCAAATGATGAGGTATCGCATTTAATCTGATCGCAGCAGCCATCATCGAGTTGGTGATGCCCTCAGTCTGACAGCAAGGCTGTTCACATCCCTCGACCACGGGCAGAGGGCCGTCGCAGAGCCCTCATCCATGTTGGGACCCAGCACATGGATGTTGGGTTTCCACGGTCATCCATTGCCTTCTGTCAGCCAAGCCCCGGCACCATTCCCTCCTTTGGAGTTGGCTGTTCTTCCTTCTCATCCTTGGATCACACAGGCTGGTCTGCTTCGTCCATGCGGACTGCGTTGATGGCTCGTTTCGACGGCTGCTTGTTTGAAGATGAGCCTCGAAGGCCCCAGACACTATTCTTTTTGATAGCCAGGCCCCATCTGCTTCCTTCACTGCACTTTGCGGCAGCTCCCATCGGGTCCGTGATCTCTTCATGAGCTGCCCTCCTCTTCTTCAGCTCACCTTTGTGGCCACCTTTGACGTCGACCCCAACGCCAAGCTCGGGGACCAGCTGCTCCTGATGGCCAATGTCAGCAGGTAAGGGGGCCAGGCTCAGGAGCAGTGCTCTCTCACCCCAGCTATCTTCTCCAAGGCCCTTCCTGGCTGACCTCCTGCTCTTTCCTTAGTGAGAATAACACCCCCAGGACCAGCAAGACCACCTTTCAGAAGGCGCTCCCGGTGAAGTATGCTGTCTATGTCGTGATCAACAGGTATGGCAATCTGACCTCCAAAGGATTCGTAGCCACCCGATTGAGGTGTGAGTGGCTTCCACACTCCATGCAGGGATCCTACAAATGCCTGGGCTATTCCTCGGTTTCACTATCATTCCCCTTCCCACTGGTAGGGAATACCGTTAGCGGCACTCACTAGTTCATCACTTACTGGAGAGTGTTTATTGTGGGCTAGCCATAGTACGTGTGAGGCTATCATTATAGGCTACATCTAACGGGGGTTGCAATTCCTAGAGAGCTTCCAAAAAAAAAAAAAAACTGTCTTGGGAGAAGTCCCTAAAAGATACTAATGTGAGACATATCCCTGTCTCTGAAACTCTGACCACCTTATTAGAGCATGAGGTCACCCTCATGTAAGCCAGAATCTCATGAACCCCCCACCCCACCCCTGTCATGTATCTTTAATGTTGGGTGAGGGGGGCCCTCAAAGGAAAGCCAGGGCCTCATGTAAGGGGAACCCTCAGCTAAGGGTTGAAAGATTGACAGCCATGAGCTTGGCTGGCTGTGACTTTCAAAGGTGTCCTTGGCACTGGAGTGAGACACATCTTCACTTTAGGAACTAAATCTGTGCGGTGCAGGACTTTTGGAATGCCGTATGCCGGCTTACCAAAGGCTAACCATGTTCCTATCACTGTGATTACCCACACCTTGCTTCTGCAAGTGCCCTCTGGGAAACACAGGAAGAGGTGAACTGCCTTCCATAGAGGCAGGGAGCTAGAAGATGCTGGGTATAAAAACTGGGTCTTCCAACAACGCTTCCCAAGGAGGCTTAGTCTTGAAGTGTTTGGCATTAAGGAGTCATCTCAAGTCAAGGGTTGGAGCAAAAGAGTCTCAATGTGGACATCCCTCGTATCTGCTATGTGCCAGACACAGAGCTGCGGTTCCTTTGCATACATGCCTCTGCTATTCAATCAAGATTCCTGAGCCCCCTACCCCCATGCAATCAAACGGCAGACATAAATCCCTACCCTGTCACACTTACATTCATGTCGCGCCATGAGCTTGCATGACTTGGCTTAGGTATAACCCCCTGCCAGTTCCACCAACGTGCTTTGTGAAACATTCTCCTAGGCCAGGGGTGCACTTTCCCCTGCACCCTTGACGGCACTCAGAAGCCCCATCTAGCATCTGGCCTGGGCTTGGTGGCTGCGGTGTGTCCCATGGTTTGCACACACCTGCTCAGGGATCCACGGGCAGGACACTCAGCATGAGGATCTGGCATTTTGTGGGAATTCTTTCAGAAAAGGAATGCCTAGGCTAGCAGTTCTCAACCTACAGGTCGCAACCCCTTTGGGGGTCGAATGACCCTGTCACAGGGGTCTCCTGATTCGTCACAGTAGCAAATTGACAGTGATGAAGTAGCAATGAAAATAATGTTATGAAAAAAAGAAAATAATGTTATGGTTGGGGGGTCACCCCCACTTGAGGCACTGTATGAAAGGGCCGTGGCAGAAGGAAGGTTGAGAACCACTGGCCTAGGTGAAGGATAAGGCCTAGGTGAGCATGACAGGGTGAGACCAGCCACCTAGGTGAGGGTCCATGCTGCCAGGGCTTATTTGCCTGGCCAGAGATGCGAGGGACTGACTTGCCTGGCCAGACTCCATGACAGGGACTGACTCACCTGGACAGAGATGTTGGTAAACTGAGGCCCCGTGAAGAGGCTGCTATTGGGCTTCCCTCGCCTTCAAAGGAAATAGGAGAGAAAGACCCCACTCACCCACCCACCCACCCACCCACCCAGAGAAGGCCTGGAGGACACCAGGAAGGGGGTTAATGTCCAATAGGTGTTTGTGTAACAGCATTAGTCTGCCTCCCAACCTCTGCTGCATCCCACCTGCCTACCCATCGTCCTCCATGCCCACGGATGCCTCAGAAGACAACAGGTTCACAGAGGGCCTGCTAGCAGACCCGTGGCCTCTCAGCTATGTACACGGTATCCCCTGTCCAGCACCCTCTCGACAGTCTCCTCTGGGGGCAGCTCCTGCAAGCCCCTCTGCTTCCTAAACCCTCCTACAACCCCAACACAGTCCCAGGTAGATCTCACCCCAGGGCCCCACTGACGACCTGTCCCATCCTGCTCCCAATCAGAGCGTTCTCAGGAAGCCTCCCCCGGAACTTCACATCTACCCAGGCCTCCTCTCTCTCCACAGTCATGCGCCATCCACCAAGCACCTCAACTTCTCAGCCTCGGAGGAGGAAGAGAGCGGTGCGATCCAGCACAGGTACCAGGCAAGTGGTGGAGGCCCAGAAGCTTGGGGTGGGGCCGGGGATGGAGCTCAGGGAGCCGTGTGGGGTCTGGCTCTGCCCTCACTGTTCTCTGTGCAGGTGAGCAACCTGGGCCAGAGGAAACTGCCTGTCAGCATCAGCTTCTGGGTGCCCGTGGAGCTGAACGGAGTGGCTGTGTGGAAAGGAATAGAAGTCCTTCCCCAGCAGGTATGGAGGCCTGGACTCGGCTCCTCCACGGATGTCCTTTCCCTGGACACAGGAGTGTGAATCCCTGACACCCCACCGAGATGCTGGTTCATTGTCTTCTTTTAGGGTCCGTTCTTTCAGTGCTCTGGCGAGAAAACAGAGCCCCCCGAGTCCGACTCCCTGAGCCGCGTGCAGAAGCAGCCTGTGCTGGTGAGGGTGACTGTGCGCTGGCCTCCGTCCTGAGCCACGCGCCAGACGAATGTGAAGAGAGGGGAGCAAAGGGCAGAGGGGGGCCGGCGGAAGGGCCCTTGCACTCTCAGACGTGGCTGCGCCCCTCGCATCAGATGGTTCAACCCCGCTGTCTACTTTCAAGTCCGTCTTTCTGGCCTGATGCCGTGCCTCTGTCCCTAGGACTGCTCCGTTGCCACCTGCCTGAAGTTCCAGTGTGATATCCCCTCCTTCGACATCCTGAATGAGTTTGACTTCATCCTCAAGGGCAACCTCAGCTTCGGCTGGGTCCGCCAGGTATACAAGGTCCCACGGCAGAGCCCCTCCCTGAGAACCTGAGGTGTCTGGGTTCATGCTTCACAAGAAACCCCCCTGCTGTCCCGTCCGGTCTGAGTCACGGCAGCCCTAGGGGACAGGGTAGAACGACCCCTGTGGGTTTCCAAGACTGTAAGTAACTCTTGATGGGAGTAGAAAGCCTTGTGTTTCTCCCGAGGAGCGGCTGGTGATTTCAGACTGCTGACCTCCCAGTTAGCAGCCCAACGCATAACCCACTACGCCACCAGGGATCCTGCACGCTGGCCCTAGCGTCAGGGCATTGCTTGACCTCTGAGCCTTCCCCAGAGCAAATTCTCCAGTCCCCCTCCCCTTTCACAGACACTGCAGAAGAAGGTGTTGGTCAAGAGTGTGGCTGAAATCAAGCTAAACGGAGCCATGTATTCCCAGCTGCCCGGACAGGAGGCATTCATGAGAACACAGGTACTGATGGCGCAGTAAGGAGGCGATGACCAGGCTGATGAAAGGGCTCCTGAGAGGCAATCGGTCATGTTAGGTGGCATTTTGCCCGCCTGGAGGAAGGATGACAAAGGCCTTGAAGCTACTGATATTTCTTGCATCTTACTCCTCAAAGCAGGGCCATGAAAGGAGGGGATAAACTGGGAGTTGGGGGAGGGGAGGGGCATGTTGCAGGGGTACGGGGGTCTGGGCTCACAAGAAGCCTTCTGCTTTCTGGTGGGACTATCTGCACTCCAGGTGGAGACAGTCTTGGAGAAGTACGAGGTCTATAACCCCATCCCCATCATCGTGGGCAGCTCCGTGGGAGGTCTGTTTCTACTGGCTCTCATTACAGCCACACTGTACAAGGTGAGTGTCTTACCCCCCTCTCGACACCATCAGTATCCAAGCCGGCTCTCTCTCAGTGAAATAAAGCATTCAACCATGTCCCTGCTAGGATACTTACTGTAAGAGACCCCCGCTCCCACCTATAACGCATCACCTTTGTCCAAGTCGTCTCCACAAGCAATCTTCCAGGCTCCCTTGATCGCTCTTGTTCTTCTCTATCCATCCCTGATGATGGGTTATAATACCAAAAAAGGCAGACCTGGCTTTAAATGTTGACGCCACTCTGTGTCTGTAGGCAAGTGTTTCGTCTGCTCTGGGGCTTCAAGTCTTTCTCTTTTAGATTAAAAAAAAAAAAGTTTACTTTTTCAAAGAAAACCGGCGATAGCCAATTGGAAACCTACATATTCTTTGAATCCAAGTTTGTTTTATTTCATTCAGAAGCGAGTTACTGATTTTCCATTCTACACGGCCCCCTCCCCCTTCTCCCCTTTAAACGTTTATTCCCATCGACTCAGGCTGAACCCTCTCAAGGGGATGGTTCGTCATCGGTCGTCAGACTCTCACTTTGTTCCTTTGACCCCAAAGTGTAACCCGGCTCCATCGTGCATCTTAAGGAGTCCAAAAAACAATGGGGTGGGGGATCTCTGGAATAGCCAGTTGAGTTGGGAAAAAAGAAAAGAAAACATAAAAAGACAGGCACATGAATGCTATGTGGTTGGGGCAGGAACCCACGCTAATATTCTCAGTCTTCTGATCCTGTGCCATGAATCCTGTGGGTCAACACCCCTGTGCTCCCCACCTTATGATTCGAACCCAATGACCCGGCTCCATAAAGCACAAAGAGAAGAAGAGGCACAATGTCAGAGGCCGTAACCGAAGGGAAAGATGAGGCATGTCTGTCGGGTTTAATAGATGCACGTCAATAGCGACCCAGGTCCCCTTACACGGTTCTGAATGGCGGTCAGATAAATTTTCAAAACCTAACCTTTAAAGACACTACTTGGAAGAAACTTTTTATATTTACAGTTCAACCGATAATACCAACACTTGTTACTATACTGTGTGTGACAGGTTTTGTGGTTACAAAAAGAATTAGGTAAATTGAAAGATTGTTGGTATCGTGACCAATCTAAGTCTCATCTCGTGCTCCCCCATGCCGTTTAATTTGTAAATTAAAGCGTTTTAAACATGACTCAATTGTGAATGTTAGTTTAAAGGGGAAGGTGAGACAAAATCTCGATTATCTAGCCCAATACATTGGGATTTGTATGGTGCTTTCCTTTTGCCTTAAAAAAAGACATAGCCGTGTTATTTCAGTCACACAGAGGGCATGCAGATTTAGGGGGTCGACATTACACACCATCTAATTGGAATCAAAGACACTTGTCCCAACAGCAGGTCACCTATAAACCGTTATAATTAAACACTGTGGAAAAATTCTCCAGCCCTTCCCACACTGTTCCCTAGTCAAACAAACAAAAACGAGAAGTAAAATAAAATTTTACAAGACAGGCAATGTAATTGTACCCCAATTGCCAAGGTATAAAGAGCAAGTGCTTCAAGGCTGATGTAAATAATAGTTTCTAACTCATGTCCTTTAACGCAAGGTCAATATGGCTGATTTCATTTGTGACAATAGCATTAGGAGTCATACTTTAATTTATTTAAGACTAAAATTTAATTTTTAAATTTAATTTACGTATTTATTTTATTTGATACAATAATTTAATACAATACAATAAGAAATACATTTTTATTTCGTACAATAATTTATTGAATACAATAAGCCTCCATTATTGATCTGATCCTCCACAACCCCACTTTTGACACTCCTAAGATGATGGAATGTGCTCCTCAATCCCTCGTCTGGATCCTGGATTCTTAATCTGGAAAGGTGTAAATGGTACAACGTATATAACGTCTCTAACCTAGTATGTGGGACACGGTCGGGGTTTCAGAAGTGGCGGTCATCCCCGATCATCTCCTATCTTCTTTTCCACTGGATGTCCTGATTTTCCTCCTCCGCCTTCTCCAGATCGGCTTCTTCAAACGCCAGTACAAGGATATGATGGAGGAAGCAAAGGAAGGAGCTACCCCCGAAAGAGAGGCGTCAGACTCCCCATTTGCCCAATAAGCAACCCTCACCCCTACCTCCTGTTCTTCTCTGGATCTGATTTCCCTGAAGATATTCCTCTTGCTCTCCCCTAAGCCAAGGGCAAGGAGGGAGAAATATTCCTCACGAGGGAGGTTCAGATCAGGCGGCTTCTCTTGGTAGAAACTCTGCCTGGGAAGGACCGTTTGCCTTGTCAGCACTCCAGCTGGAAACTTCGATCACAAGGTCCCTACCGGGCACCCACCAGAGGTCTTGGCTTTGAAATTCTACCTGGAAATACGTAGACGATGGCCCCAGATGCCAGTTTCCCTTCTTGCCCTGGGCACCAGTGATGTTTAGGAAATGGCACACTTGTCCTCACCCATCTCCGGTGGCTCCCTGCTGCTTTCAGGATAACAGCCCCACACTCTGGGCCTGGTGTGACAAGTCCAGTTTACGCCCCGAGCCTCCCAGCCACCCTGGTTTTCTCCGAAATCCAGTCGGCATCGACCCCTTCATCCCTCTTTATAGTCTTCCCCCAGATTGTCCAGCCTGAGCTAGGAATGAACTGTCTGCCCACTGGAACTCATAACCTGGCCTCCTACATTGGGCAACATTGCTCGTTGGCCGAGAGGAGTGTCTGCTCCAACACCATGGCGGCTCGGTCTCAAAAAAAGGCCCAGGTCATGTGTTTGTTTTGTTTTGTATTGTTTTTGAGGCTCCAATGTATTAAAGCAATGAAGGAATGTCAGGAAATGATGACCAAATATGTGTGTTTTTAGTATTTGCGTTAAGAAGAAACTATCACACAAAATGAGGCGTTTAGCTTTCTTGGGGAATATGTCAACTATCTAAATAAAGGCCTTTTGTGGACATGAGACCAGGACAATGACCTCGGAATCCTTTTTCTGTAGTGGTGGGCCGTGGCCAGCCCTGAGGCCTGGGGCTGGGATAGGACGGTTAACCTGAGTGGGTACCACGGACATCCCCAGGCTCAAAGCAGCCTGAGCTCTTAGGACTGTGGGACACGGAGGGGCTCTTAGGAAACAAGGACAGGAAAGGGCTCATCCCCGGTGACTGTTCTCCCAGATGGAAAGGTCACTGGAGATGGCCAAGACACAAGGTGTTTCATGTGCTAACTTGGGTCAAGGGGAGGCTGATACCCAAAAAGAGGGAGGCTGCAAAAAAATATGTATGGTGGCAGGGGAAGACACTGGAAGAGTGAAAAAGTGGAAGGACACGGAGGTAAAGTTCTATTTCATACAGAATCCTGCAATAGCTAGTGATCACAAGTAGGTGCCTGGATGGATACTAAGACTGAAGCCTTAGTAGAGTATGCCTATGAATATGCATAGCTTTGACAGATAATATTGGCACATGTGTACTTACCTTTGCTGCAAATATATCCATGCATGTGGTGGAGCACACCGGAGGGGAAGTTATTACAACCTCTTAGACATAACCGACACCTAGAAGGAATGGGTCACTGGGCCTGGGGCTCAGGATCAGAGTCTCAGGGGACACTGAGGTCAATCAGAATAGCATCATCCATAAAATCCATGTGAACATCCATCTCCATGGCCTTGAGACCAGAAGAACTAGGTGGTGCCCGGCCACCACAACCACCTGCTCTGACAGCGATCACAATAGAAAGTCCTAGATACAGTGGAAGACGCGTATGGGATGGAAATCAAACCCCCAGGCTTAGTGGTCAGCTAGAGATTGATAGAACCCCTTGGGCTTTGATCCTTACCCCTTGGCCCTGTTTCCAGCCAAACAACACCAGGAGAACAGGAACATCGGGGAGTAGGCACACTTGAAAGAATCAGCCATTCATGATTGCAAGGACAGTGTTTGGCCAAGGACGATGTTCAGAAGGCTTAGGAAAGAAGGAGGGATGGAACCAGGGGAGACAAGAAGGAAGGGGGATAAGAGGTGTGTCATTGAGGAGACTTCAGTCAATGAGTGAAACGAAATGTGTGTGACGTGTTAACAGACACGGATCCTCACTATAAACCTTCATCCAATTTACCCTAAAAGGGAAAAGTACATGGACGTCTGTTACCAATACTGGGATGTGTTAGAGGAGACACGGGTTGCACGTGGATAATGATTGAAGACCATCTCGGAGTCCCATGTTTGGTACCTGTCATACTCCATGAGAGGGCACCTGTTCTAACATAAACCTCATTGTCGTGTCTGGCACTTAACCTTCTGTTCTGTTCTCAACACATGACTAGCTATTTCCCTGCCCGGGAGAGATCCCATTTTTTGCTGCCACTACCAGGGAACTCTGGACCCATGGGAAGGGCAGGCAGGCAGGCGTCTGAGCTGAGAGAAAGCTGGAAATGATCTTCCTCATCAGCCATCCACCTTTCAGATGTGGAAGCTTTGAAGGGTCAAGACAGAAGCCATCCCAAACTCACAGCCTTTGGGTCCCTTCCCTATCACAGCCGCCATACAGGACAGAGCACAACTCCTCCCAAAGGTCCCAAGACTGTGCATTCTTACAGAGCACATCGCCTCGTCTTTCTTCCTTGATGTGTCTGGTGGCTTTGAACCACCGACCTTGCAGTCAATCAACTCTTTCACCAGGGTTCCTGTTCTTGGAGTTCCTGGAAGAACCAATCACACGAGGCCCCTGGGTGACCCTTCAGCTGATGAACGACTTTAATGAGAATCCACCCCTAGAAATAGAGGAAAGAACTGGGAGTAAAAGGGCATTTATAGAGGTCTAGATAAAGACATGTACATATGCAAATATATTTATATGAGGATGGGGAAATAGATCTATGAGCCTA